CATTCGTAAGTATGCAGTTTAGTGGCGTTAAATGCTGGGTACCCCACCACCACTGTCCACACCCAAAACCTCATTGTCCCTACAAGAAACTCCGTGTATATTACACAGTACTTCCCATCTCTTCCCCCAGCTCTGCTGTCCACCTTTCTCCTGTGTCTACGGACCTGACTCCTCTGTTGACCTCAAAGGAGAGGAGTCACATGGTGTTTGTCCTTGTGTGATTGGCTTGTTTCACTCAGCGCACCGTCCGCAAGGTCCGCCCATGTTACAGCCTGTGTCAGACTTTCCTTTTTCTGGTTGACTATTTCATTGTAGGGAAAGACCAATTTTTTTGTCCATTCATCTGTTGATGGACACTTACTGTATTTTAATATACTATATTTCTATGAGTAAATTGAATACCTGCATGTTTTTTTTTACTTTTATTTATTATTAAATTTTTTTTTAATACTCACCTGAGGACATTTTTCTATTTTTTGTTGAGATAGAGTGATGGGGGGGAGAGAGAGAGAGAGAAACATTGACGTGAAGGGACACATCGAGCGGCTGCCACCCGCACAATCCAACCAGGGCCGGGGACAATCTGCAACCGAGGTACGTGCCCTTAGCGGGAACCGAACACGGGTCTCTCTGGACCGTAGGCCGACGCTCCAACTGCTGAGCCAGACCGGCCAGGGCTAGCTACGTGTTTTTAAAAGTCGTTTATGCCTAGCTGATGTGGCTCAGTGGGTTGAGCATCATTCCATGGACTGAGTGGTCCCTGTTTGATTTCCTGTTCAGGCACATGCCTGGGTTGCGGGCTCCATCCCCGATAGGGGGCGTGCAGGAGGCAGTCGATCAATGTTTCTCTCTCACATCGATGTTTCTATTTCTCTCTCCAAAAAAATCAATGAAAACATTTTTAAAAACTTGTTTATAAAAAATGAAAAACTAAGAAAAACCGGCAAGTCACATCACAGGCAAAGGTCTGATTCCATCGGCAGCCTACACCTCAGTGAGGACCAATAGGCACAGAGCCCGAGGGCACTGGGCAGGGCTGCAGGTGACCCTTAGACCCAGGAGAAAACAGCCTCTCCTGAAAGAAAAACAACTCCAACTACACTCTGTTCCCGGGAAATGCAAAAGCAGGTGCTGGTCCGCGCTGGCAGAGCTGAGGTGGGCCCTCGGGACAGTGCGTGGGGTCACGGGCTGGTGTCTCTCAGTGTGGGTGCTGGTCTGCGCTGGCAGAGCTGAGGTGGGCCCTCGGGACAGTGGGTGGCGTCACGGGCTGGTGTCTCTCAGTGTGGGTGCTGGTCTGCGCTGGCAGAGCTGAGGTGGGCCCTCGGGACAGTGGGTGGGGTCACGGGCTGGTGTCTCTCAGTGTGGGTGCTGGTCCGCGCTGGCAGAGCTGAGGTGGGCCCTCGGGACAGTGGGTGGCGTCACGGGCTGGTGTCTCTCAGTGTGGATGCTGGTCTGTGACACTCAGAGCACACATTGTCCTTCAGTGTGAGGTCAGCAGCCCCACCTAGCGAAGACCACGCGTGTTGGTGGAGAGGGGACAGGCCCTGTCGCCTGGGCAGGTGGCCTTCTGTGTGGAGGCCGAGCTGGCAGCAGGTCTGACCCACACGTCCCCACCGCACGGCTGGTTCTGCAGACGGCTCGTCCGCCGGCTCTCCATGGCAGCGCTGTCCGCGTCAGCTGAGGACTGAGCGCGAGCCAAGAGCCGGCAGCTGTGACGGGGAAGGGAGGGTGATGGTGCGGTCAGACCTCGAAGGAGGTGTCTCGTTGGGAAAACAGGGGTGTTCAGAAACCAAGGTTTTTTGCCTTCATGTGCATGAAGGGTTTCTGGGAGGATTTGTGAAATGTTTATTGTTGCCCCAGAGAAGCACTGGGGACACCCTAACCGACTCCCCTGTACTCTAGCTGTGCAGAAGGCACGGTTGTCCATCAGGCCTCTCCAGGCCTGGAGCCTTTGACTCACGCTCCTGGCTCCAGGGCCCAGGGCCTGCCCTCTTGTCCCTCAGAGTAGGGGCCTGAGCACTGTCGGTGACCGCTGACTGGGCCTTCTGACCCCGGTCCTTCCTGCGTGAGGCCGACTGGGCAGAGGGGTCTGGGCAGCTCCGGGTGGGCTGGGGTCTCCCTGCAGCGCCACCTTCAGTGAGCCTCAGTGGGCGTTCCTGCTCGGCCGCCATCGCCTGGGGCTTCTGGAACCTGGTTGTTTCAGCACCAGTGACTGAGAAAATGTCTTATCACTTCAGCTTTTCTGTAAGATCTTTATTCCGCCCTGGCCGGTGTTGCTCAGTGGTTAGAGTGTCGGCCCGTGGTCCAGAGAGACCCAGGTTCAGTTCCCGTTAAGGGCACGTACCTCGGCTGCAGTTTGTCCCCGGCCCTGGTTGGTTGTGTGGGTGGCAGCCACTCGAAGTGTCCCTTTCACGTCGATGTTTCTCTCTCTCTCCCACCCACTCTATCTGAACAAAAAATGGGAAAATGTCCTTGGGTGAGGATAAAAAAAAAGATCTTTATTTAGGGGGGAAGAAGTTGTAAACTTTAATTTTGTTTCTACTTTGTCAGGCAAAGAAACAAACCCAACAGGTGTTTCTTAGGTAGGAAACCCTTCCTGCTCCCTGGAGCAGCCTGAGCAGCCGTCTGGGTGGCCGAGTCTGTCACTGCGCTTTGTCTGCGTTCAAGGCCGCGGGCAGGAGTTCTCTTCAGCAGGACCCCCTCCAGCCATGGTAAATGCAGAGGTGGCTCCACTTTCCTCAGACTCCCCGAAAGCGCTGGTGAATGCCCTGGACCTCCTTGAGGAGCAGGCATTCTGCCCAGATCGCCATGACCCCTGAGTGACCTGCTCCTCAGGGTCTCCTCTGCCCCTCGGCTGTCACTTCTTGCTGCCTCCTTGGGAGCCAGGCGCTGATCTTGAAGGTGCTGGTTTCAGAAGCCGAAGGTAGGCCCTGTGTGAAGGTCTCTGTAGGCCTTGCCTCTGGTCCCTAGGTGGCGGTCCTGGGGAGCATGGTTCTGGGAGGCCAGGGCCCTCATCCCAAACCTGCGGGCGGAGCAAGGGCTTGGGTGTGCACTAGGAGGCTCTGTGGGGCGACCCTGTCAGCTCACAGGCCTGGCTTTTGTCCTGGTGACTGCAGGCCAGAGGCTGTTGGAGATGTGATCAGTCCCAGCCAGGGGAGGGTCCTGAGGGGTGACCTGTCCTGCCTGCAGTAACCAGCCCAGCCTGGCTTCTAAACGAGGAACTTTGTTTTATCTCATCAAATCTGTTTCCTTAAACTGGGTTTGAGTCATACGAAAGCACATTGTAGCATGTACGTGAGTCACACGGCAGAGTACATGGAGTAGCACGTGGTTCGCGCACATCCCTCCCGGCCAAGAGGATGCCTCCCTGCCCAGTCCCAACCCTGCGCTGGGCGGTGAGCGATTTCCTTCTCTGCACTGGCCGTCTCCCCACTTTCTTGTCACCGACTCCAGCCTTCACTCCTTGCAGGGCCTCCTCTGTGTGGGGACAGTGAGGGTCCAGCCGGGAGTGTGGCAGCTCCTCGAGGACCAGGGATGGGCTTTACGAAGAGAGCACTGTGCTCGCTGGAGGTCTGTCCCAGTTCAGGGTAATCAGGGTCCAGCTGAAGGGAGAGGCTTCAGAGGGAAGTGGGTCTAATTCTGGTGGTGGCACCTCCACCCACGCCCTTCTGTGCAGTCTCCATTGCGGCCACCTGGACAGCTGCAGCGCCCAGAGCCGCCCTGGGCCGCGTGGGGGCGGAGCCTGCGGCCCTGCATTCCTGGGTTTGCGAGAAATCCATCCCCTCCAGCAAACTGACAGCTTGTTACAGCCCTGGGAGGAGGGGAGGCAGGCAGGCAGGCCTTTTGCACACAGGTCCCACATCTGAGATGCTTTGTTTCCAGCCCAGTCCGCGGCGCAGCGGGTGTGCAGGCAGGGACTTGCTGTGAGGTTCCCGGTCAGACAGTGCTGCCCGCGAGCGAGCGCCGTGCGCAGAACTGGAGGCGTGTTTGCTCGGCATTGTTATTGCCCAAACATCCAGCTTTATGGGTGCTTTCCTGGCGTCCACTCCGCACAAGCCATTGACCCAGTGCTGGGCCGGGGAGGCTGGGCCGGGGTTCCCCCCTTCCTTGCAGCAGGCACCGCGTGGGGGACTTGCTCTAGTTTTGGCAAATGCCCAGGTTTCCTGTTGTGTGACTGGTCCCCGCCTCTTGCCAGCTGAGACCTGAGAGTCTGGGTGTCTTCTGTCTTGCTCCTGGGGGCCCCCCTTCTTGAGCTCTGGGTGGCCCTAGGTTTTGTCTCTGGCTGCTGCATGTGGGCCGGTCCTAACCTGACCGGGGCAGGGGGCACTCTGCTGAGGGACTGGCCCGGGCATCACGTTCCCAGCCCCGCTGCCTCCGGGACCAGCCAGCTGCGCGCAGTGTAGGGGAGGCGTCAGGAATGTCTGTTGGCTCCTAGGACAGTGCCTGGCCTGGCTGAGGCTCCATGAAAATTGTCCACTTGTGCCTTTTGTCCCCTGCGCCGAGGGGCCCCGTGGGTGCAGCCTGGAGAGGTGCTGTGACAGTTGCTTGTCACACATTCAGATGGTGGCTCCTGCCTCCCAGTGTCTGCTGCCCGCCTGCCTTGGGAGTCTGTGCCCTCCAGGATGGCCTGTGGGCCTGGCCCTTGTCCCTTCTCTCTGGGCCCCTGCAGGTGCTGTCCTTGGTTCTGCCACTCCTTGTGTTGCCCCTCCCCTTCCCGGGACAGCCGCCACCCTCTGCCCAGGAAAGCAGGGGCTGTTTGGACAGGCTGGCCCCAATCTGGCTCCTCTGCCTGGCGCCCAATGGGTGCCTCCTCTCTGCCCAGACAGAAGTGTGACAACCCCCCATAAGCAAGGCTCTCTGTGTGCCCCGCCCCTTCGGACCTCTCTTCCCGCCCCAGCGGGAAGGGCCCCCAGGCACATCGCCGCAGTGGGAGTCGGTAGCCGCTTGAGCCCGCAGCTCTGCCGCTCCTGGGCCCTGCTAACAGCTTGCCTCTGGTTCAGTTTCCAGGCTGAGCGGCCCGCGCTGAACGTCGTCATCTTCCCCCTGCTCCGTAAGGGCCTGACTGATGTCATCCGGGACGTCCCCATGGTGCACCTGGACGAGATCACCTTATTTAAAAGCAGAGTGGCCGAGGAGCCACCGAACCTGTGGTGGTGACGGATGGCTAGCGCCAGGCAAGCCCCTTCCGTGGCCGCCTCCCCGCCTGCTGCTCTTGTTTCGTGGCCGAGGAAGCAGGACTGCTCGGACGGCGTGTGGCCTCGGGCCCTGCCTGGGCCGCCATCCATGCTCACCGCCTGTCTGCAAACCCCCGGGTTGCCTGCCAGACACCAGGACCCCTGGGTGGTCACGAGAGGAAGGGAGGCCTCTCCCTGGCCGTCCTGCACCCCGGCCCCCGGGGACTTCCGATGCTTCCTCTTGCTTTCTCCCGTGAGGACTGGTCGCCTGTTGGACGTTGGGTCGTGATGGTGTGAGGAGGATGAACAGAAGGGCTGGCGGTCAGCGCCTCAGGCTGGCCCTGGGCACTTTTTCACAGGCACGGACTGTGGTGCCTGACTCCGTGGGGCTCTGACCAGGTCCCCAGAGCACCGGGTGGCCCCAGTGTGGCCCCTCACTTCAGCCCCTGGGAGTGTCCCTCTGCTCATGTGTTCCTGGTCACCTGCCACCAGGCTACATGGAGGGGTGGCCTGAGGCCCAGGGCTGGGGGTGACCACGCGCACCCTGGGAGGAGAGCCTTCCTGCAGGTCCGCTGGAGCTGGACGGTGAGGCGCTCGGGCTGTGTGGCTGCAGGGGCTCTGTGGTAAGACACGTTCACCAGCCACGTCCCGGTGCGTTTCCAGCCCGATGACGCCGGGCAGGTGCAGGGCTGGTGCTGGCGGCCCGGAGGAAGGCTCCCAGGCGGCTGGCACTCAGCGTTGGAGACTGCAGCTCCCCGGGGAGGTCTGTGTTTCTGGGGAAACAGATGTATGTGGTTTCATTAGAAAAACTTGAGAGGACGTTCAAGGCCGGAGTAGTGATCAGATCACCCCGTTTCAGACAGCTTTACGTAGCACTTTAATAAGCCCAGCGCAGCTATTCCAAAGACGAGGGCTGACCTCCGAGTGTGCAGGGTCTGCCCTGTGCCCAGCTGCCACCTCTGCCTTCTCAACCATGAGACCCTCCAGCACTGGGCATTGTCAGGTGGCTCCCTGCGTTGGGCTTGACTCCCCCACCTCCCTCTCCCTCTGGGCTGGGGGTGCAGAGCCCACAAGGCCCTGCTCACATTCCTGCTGCCCATCCTGGCCCTCAGCTCGGCTGTCTTCCCACTGCTTCCTCCGTGACAGTCACCCCCATTCCGTGTAGCGCATCCTGCTGTTCACCTGCTGTTGAAGGACTAGGGACCTGGCCCCGTGCGTCTTTGGATGCCCTTCCCTGGGACAGAAGGGCAAGCAGCTCAGCAGCCCCAGCCTGCCAGGCAAGGGGTCCAAAGACTCTGGTGGCAGCTGCGGGAGGCAAGTAGTCCTGGCCCCGGGCACACAGACCTCGGTGCTCTGCTGCTCCCTGAGCTCAGCCTGTCTGGTCCCTGGCCGCCCGGCGGCCCCGGGTCTGCTCTGCCTGTCCTGACCGAGTGGGCACTCTGCTTCCTTCCCCCTGCTTTTCCTGCACAGGGCAGTTGTTTCCTCCGGAGCACAGGGCCTGTCCTGGGTTGCAGCTGGGGGCCCCCTGCTCCAGGGAGTGCCCTACAACAGCACCCCCACCAGACCTGCAGCCTTCACCTTCGAGACCTGGCCCAGCCTGAGAGCTGCAGCCGGGTCCTGTCTTCCTGGTCTCGGAGGCCACCGGACAGGCAGGGCTGTGGACCCAGGTGGGACCACATGCTACAGATGGAGGTCTGAGAGGTGGTGGGAGCACCCACTCCCCAATTTCTGGGCATTTCTTTTAGGTGGCACCTAGAGACCACTAGGCAAGATGATCAGGAGGAATAGGACGCAGCCCAGGAGGAAGGCAGGTGGCCTGGCTGTCTCTGGGACCCCCGAGGGCCAGGCCCTGCCCCGGCCCCAGGTGGCTCTGGGTGTCCTTTCATCCAGAGCCCCTGGGTCCAGGCACGAGAGTGACCTTCCCACCAGGAGTTGATCCAGAGGCTGCGGTTGTGTTGTCGAGGTCTTGCCAGGCGGGCTGTTCTCCTGAGCGAGCACTTCTACCAGCAGCGTCGCTCACCCCGAGGGTTGCTGGGAGGGGCGGCTCCCTGGAGGCTGGGCGCGAGCTGCTCGGGAAGCGGGAGATCTGTGTTCTCAGTGTCCCCTGCAACCATCCTTTTACTTCAAGCCAGACTTGCCGCCACTCCCACGCCAAGACATTCGCCAGATGTTAGTAATGTGCTGCTTTTTGCTAAGTGCTGTTTGGCACCAGTGTTGATTGCAATTTATTTCTTTTATTTTTTATTTTTTTTAATCCTCACCCAAGATATTTTTCTGTTTATCTTCAGATAGAGTGGGAGGGAGGGAGGGAGGGAGGGAGAAGGAGAGAAAGAGAGATAAATCAATGTGAAAGGGACACATCAACTGTTTGCCTCCCACACGACCCCAATCAGGGCCAGGAATGAACTGCAACCCAGGTATGTGCCCTTGGCTGGAATCGAACCCGTGACTCATTGGTCCACGGGCCAATGCTCTAACCACTGAGCAAAATCAGCCAGGGCTAATTGCAGTTTACATTCTGCAGCACTTTACACTGGGAAAAGAACCCACCCTACTGGTCCCTGATTGGCAGAGCTGGGCTGTTAAGCAGCAGACCACATGCTGCCTGCTGAGAGGGCCTGGTCAGCACTGGCACGTGTGCTTGTGTCTGCATCCACCTGTATGTGTAGTCCGCTGTTCAGTGTGCATGGTGTGTGTGTGTGTGCACAGCTCTGTATGTGTGGTCAAGTATGTGCGTGCATGCACACTTGTGTGCGCGCACAGCTCTGCTCAAGTGTGTGCATGGTGTGTGTGTGCTCAAGTGTGTGCATGGTGTGTGTGTGCACAGCTCTGTGTGATCAAGTGTCTGCATACATGCACGTGTGTGTATGGGGTGTGTGTGTGAGAGAGTGACAGGGGAGAGGGAATGAGGAAGGCGGGATCTGGCATTTGTCCCTTTGTTAAAAGAGAGACCTCCGCCCCACCCCCAAGGCTACCCTCCTGACTGCCACACAGGCCTGCAGGTGTTCCCAGGGGCCAGACTGCCGCTCCTTCCCTGCTCTCGGTGGCTTTGCTTGTTCCCACTGCCAGTGTGTTTCTGCTCCAAGCCCAAGAGGCTGACCAGGATTCTCCGCTCTTCCGTGCAACCAGGGTCTTCTCCCTGCCTCTCGGCTGCCTGGCCAAGAACCGGGGAAGTGCAGGCTCCAGCGTCCTTTCTCTGCCAGGCCTCCGGGGGACCCATGTGTGCACGGAGCGGGACGGCTGGTCGGGGCACAGGGGCACACCCCCTTCGTGGGCCAGGGGTCCTGGGCCGGAAGGGCTGGGTGGAGAGTGGAGCCACAGGAGGGCCCGCAGCCGGTGCCCACGGGTCCACGCCAACCAGCCCCTGTCCTGAGGGTTCCACCCTCCGGTCCTCAGTGGTGCTGCCTTTCGCCCTTAGGATTGGCTCCTTTAGGATTTGAAACTGTCTGAGACCTTGTAAGAAAGAAGTAAGTTAGTGCATGAGGGTGAAGTGTGGCCGCTGGCAGCAGGTTCCAGCGGGCTCAGCCACAGGACTCGAGGTGAGGGAGACGCGGATGGGACGTGGGTGCCCGTGGTTCTCATGGCCTCACCTGAGTCCCCCTCTTGACAGGAAGGGGACAGGATTGTGAGGGAGGGGCCAGGGTTCTAGTTAGAAGTGCCCCAGGTCTACTGGGCACGAGGAACAAATACCCACAGAAGTTAAAAACCCAGCTGTGGGTCTGACTCAGGCCTACCAGTGTAAACTCTCCTTAGCCACCCAAGTGGAGTTTGTGCTAGTGTCGCAGGGTCGAGGCACCTGCTGCGCTCTGCTCAGGCCCCGGCAGACCTGGGGGCGCAGTGACCGTGAGCTGCTCGCCACCACGCTTGCTCCCAGCGCTGAGGCCAGGGCCTGGCAGGGGGTCCAAGGGGGGCGATGCTGCTGTGCTCGCCCCACGTGCAGGGGCTTCCGCAGGCCATCGGGGTGAGCTGCCCTGCTGTGCTCCGGGCAGGCGTGTGCACGGCCCGTGGCAGCCCGGGGGCGTTCCCAGCGCTGGCACTAGCTGTCCCTCTGACCACTGTCATCTGAGTGCAGCTCTGAGTGGAAGCAGTGGCGCCTGGCATGTTTCTAGGGGGTGGGGTTAGCTGCTGGGGGTCTCCATGGCTTGTGTGTGACCAGGCACCAAATGACAAGAACGTGTCACCTGCCCTTCAGTGAAAGACTGTGCCCATCTGGTAATGCCTACTCCTGAGTTTTGTGTTCAAACTACGTTTTGAATGGGTATTTTCATGTAAATTTGTGGCATGTGAAAAGTTTCAAATAAAGTGGACTTGATTTAGAAAACCAGGTAGCTGAGTGGTCCTTCCAGTAGGGACACGACCAGCCTTTCCCCAGTGACCCCGTCCCCAGCCCCAAAGGGTGGCAGAGTGGCTGTCACCCACTGCTAGTCTCGTGGTGAGGATGGAGGCCTTGCTTGGCTGGATCAGGAGTACCTGGGTGGGGGTGTGGGACCCAGAGAGGGGCGCAGACACTGCCCAGGGCCGGCGCAGGCAGCTGCTGAGCCAGCCTTTGCCGGCTGGGGAAACAGAGGCTGTGAGCATGTGGGGGGCCAGCGTGGGGCTGGCGGGTGGGGCGCAGGGACGCCCGCCTGGCCTGAAGCTGCTCTCTGCACAGAGGCTCGGTGCGGCCTGATGGCAGTTTGGGCACGAATAGGGCCTGGTGACCGTGGCCAGCTGAAGGCAGGCAGGCTCACGTCGCTGTGTGTGGTCTCGTACGATAGTTGGGCTTCTTCACAGCGTGGTGGCTGGATCCCATAGCATCCCCACCACACTTCTTACAATTTTAAAATTTTTTTTTTTTTTTTTATCCTTACCCGAGGACATTTTCCCATTTTTTGTTCAGATAGAGTGGGAGGGAGAGAGAGGAACAGAGAGAGAAACATCAATGTGAAAGGGACACATCGAGTGGCTGCCACCCGCATGACCAACCAGGGCCGGGGACAAACTGCAACCGAGGTACGCGCCCTTAGCGGGAACCGAACCCGGGTCTCTCAGGACCGCAGGCCGACGCTCTAACCGCTGAGCCAAACCGGCCAGGGCACAATTTTTACATTTTTATTCTGGAGTGTAAAGCTCTTTTTTATAAAAAATTATCTTTATGGTTGAAAGTGTTACAGATGTTCCTCCTTTTTCCCGCATTGACCCCCTCCTGCCTTCCCCACACTACTGTCTGTGTCCGTTGGTTACGTACACATGCATGTAAGTTTCAAGCTCTTTTAATTATAGCTCATACAGTCTTAGCTTCAGGGGTGCACCACACTGACTCGATGTTTGTATGCGCCTCCCCAGGGCCGCACAGCAGTTGGTTGGTTCGTTTGCTGGCCGGGGTGTCTGGCCACGGAGCCCAGGCCAGAAGTCGGCCGGCTTCACAGAGGCTCGTCCCCTCCGCTTTTCCCGTCAGATCTGCTGCCAGAGCCGAGAGTGGGTTTTGCCCTTTGCTTTCGAGACAGTACACAGCGAAGTGAGTGGCAGTCTGTCAGAGGACACGCCTCCCACCTGACCCCCGAGGAAGGAGAGGGAGGGTCCTTCAAGGACTCAGACCGTGGCCTGGCCCTTGGACCCCACAGTTGGCTGGGACCCCAGGCCCAGGGGCAGGAGTTGGCGGAAGAGGGAACCGGAGCAGGGCTGGTCCTCCCAGGTACTGGATGCCCACCTGAGCTGAGTCCCAGGCCAAGGTAAATGGCACCCAGGAGGGGACAGGCCTGGGGGAGGGGAAGGGGCTGCAGTCTGGGCTGGGGTCAGGGACACCTCTGTGGAATGGCCAGTCCCTCTTCTCAGACGGGCCTTTCTCTCAAAAATGCCCTGATGCCTCTTGCTCTGCTTCCCCATGGGAGCCCAGCACCCTCCACTTCAGGACAGGCGACGGGCAGGGACTGGCCGGCCCTTCCTCTGGTCTCCTCTGTGCGACTCCGCATCAGGGTTGTTACAGGGCTTGTGTTCAGCGGAAGCCCAGGCTCCCTGGCCGCTCCGGTGTGGAGGAGTCGCCGCGGCGGGGTCAGGAGCAGGGCTGCTCTGGGCCACGCTGGGCCTCCCGTCCGGGGCAGCGGGGATGGACAGGTGTGGAGGGCACAGCACGTGTAGACGGGGTGCCAGGGCCGCTCCTGGGGCAGCGGGAGCTGGGCTCGAGCCGAACCCGCAGGGCTGGCCTGGCCCCAGCAGCTCGCCCCACTGCTGCCCCCCAGACACCGTCGGTCACGCCCACAGGCAGCGTGCACGCCCACGTGGACCCCCATGTCATCCACAGCTGCGCCCTCACAGGTCCGCTCACGTTCACACTGGAGCACACGCCTGACCTTCACATCACAGGCACTCAGCCCCACACTCACATCACACGTGCTCACGCGTGTGCTCACGTCACGTGTGTTCACAGTCCCACCCATTCGCACAAGCACGAGCATGGGTCCACACCCACGTTCACACACACCGCCCTTCACGCAGACCCCATCCATCTAATCCACACCGCGTCTTGGACACACTCCCGCACCCCCATCTCCCACTGACATGTGTTCACACATGAGTGTCACATGCACACACTCACACAAAGGCGCTGTATTCATTTTACACACCAATGAGTTAACACAACCGGCTCAGCGAAAGGCCAGCGTTTCCACCGTGTTCATCCTTGGACACCCGAAAACTTCGGAGAAGGACCCAGGAGAAAGGAAGGCGGCCCGACCTCTCCAGCCCCAGAACCTCGGCCTGGGTCTAGGTCCCGTCCTTTGAGTCCTGGTTTCAGGCTTTTAAAAAACGTGCGTAGCTGTGCTCATCCGGCGCGGGGCTTGCTCTCCGCCCCGCGCCAGGGAAGTCTGGCCGTGTTCTTCCAGAGGCACATCTGATGATGCCGTCACACGCCTGAGGCCCACCCGCTGTCCCACAATTAGCTTGTCTCTAATTAGCCGCTCTTCCCAGGAAGGCTGCTCCCAAACCCTTGTGCGGGAGCGCTTTTCTATATTTAGAGTTATTTCCTTAGGAGAGACTGTCGTTAGTGAAGTTTCTGGGTCTGCGGATGAATTTTTAAGGCTGGAAGGAGCTTGCAGGGGGCTGTCAGAGCAGAGCTGTATTGGGGTGTGGGCGTGGCATCTGCCTGCAGAAGGAGCTGGCCCGGGTCTCAGTCCCTGGGGTTCCCCTCCCGACCACTAAGTTCACTGATCTCAAATGAACTGGTTGCCCAGGACATACATGATTATTAAGGCATACAAAGCACACGCAGATAAACTAA